TCCGTGGACTTCGTCCACGATCAGCAGGTTTCACTGGCGCGCCTCCACATTGGTCTGTCCAGGGGCCCTCGTGGGCGTCTCTGCGCCGTCTCGGAGCTGCCCGGGGGCGGCTCGCAGGGCGGCCCAGAGGGGCCGGCCAATCTGTCAAGACAGAGGACCTTCTGGCACGCAGGGATCGCTGCATTGTAGAAGAGACTAGGGCTGACCCGTGGACTACGTCCACTTGCGGGGTGAAGGGGTGCTGCTGCAAGGCGATCAGGATGAATGGCGTCACGCTCGCCTGCCACACATAGCTGAGCGAGGAGACGGAGGAGCGTCTGGACGCCCCACCTGGGGCGGTCAAGGGCTCCCTTGGTGCGTTGGGTCCGACCTTCTCGGGGCGTTCTGGGTCAGTCTGGGGGCCCTCTGAGGGGCCCCAAGATCACCAACACGCCTCCAAGATAGCTCCATAATGGTCGCTGGGGGTCGTTTTGGAGCATCTCAGCGCTTCTTTTCGGCCTCCTGGAAGCCTCCTGGGCTTGGGCTGTCTCGGGTGCCTCTTGGGACGTGTGGAGGCGGTCTGGGGCCGTCTGAGGGTTGCCTGGGGCCGTCTTGGACGTCTCTGGAGCAGTCTGGGCACCGTCTGGGGGTCGTCTAAGGCCGTCCTGGGCCGCTCTTGAAGCTGTCTTGGGTGCCCCGTGGGGCGCCAGGGGCGCCTCAGGAGCCGTCCTAACCCTGTGCGGGCGATAATGATCACCAGGGGAGAATAAAGTTCGGGGGTCTAGCGGGGATAATAATAGATTCTCCCGGGGAGGGTCAGTTATGATGATGATGCTGCTGAGGATGAGGATGACGATGGCCATGATGATGGTGATCCTGGGCGCTCGGCGAAAGTCTGATTCGAGAGATTTCGAAGCCCGTGGCTATACAACTTGCCAACAGGCGCTCGGCACAAGACGAAGCTGATGTGGTGAGACCACCATGGCCATGCTCAGCGTTTTTGATGCTGCTGCTAGTCAACATGATATGATAGCAACTTCGATTCGCAACTTCCCCCGTGGATTAGAAAGTTCGGCCTCCGCGCCCCTCTCCACAATTAAACCCTGTTGAACGGGGGCAACAAAAATAGAGGGTTTAAGGGTGGGTACATTATTATCGCCCGCACTCGGACAGAGCCATCTTGGGCCTCTGTCTGGCCGTCTTGGATGCCATGAAGAGGGGAAGCCCAGGAACTGCCAAAATGTATGTTTTCCCAAGGGGGTGGGACGATTTTTCAGTGTTCGGGCTCTCTTGGGGCTCGTCGTGGAGCACTTGGAGCGTTTTGGAAGCCTCTTGGGCCGCCTGCAGGCCATCTGAGGCATTCTCGGGGCCGTCTGGAGGTTGCCTGGGTCCGCCTTGGGCGTCGCTGGAGCAGCCTGGGCACCGTCTGGCGGTCGTCTGGGGCCCTGAGCCGTTCTTGAGGCTATCTTGGGTGCCCTGTGGGCCGCCAGGGACGCCTCAGGAGCCTTCCTAGGGCCATCTTGGGACCCTGAAGGCCGTCTTGGACGCTATGAAAAGGGCAAGTCTTGGAACTGCCAGAATTTACGTTTTCCCGAGAGAATGGGACGATTTGGGCCCGTCCTGGAGCCCAATTGGAGCGTTTTGGAAGCCTCTCAGGCCGCCTGCAGGCCATCTGAGGCGTTCTCGGGGCCGTCTGGGGGTTGCCTGGGTCCGCCTTGGGCGTCTTTGGAGCAATCTGGGCATCGTCGGGGGGTCGTCTTGGGCCGTCCTGGGCCGCTCTTGAGGCTGTCTCAGGTACCGCGTGGGCCGCCAGGGGCGCCTCAGGAGCCGTCCTGGAGTCGTCGTGGGCGGTCGTGGGGCCTTCATGGGGGCATCTTAGGGCGATCTTGGGGGCCTCTACGGCCGTCGTGGACGCGTCGGAAACGAAAAGCACGATAACGCCCCAGATACGCAGGGAATCGGATGATTCTGGCCTCCTGGGACTCTCCTGAGAGGTCCTCCAGGGCCGTCTTGGGAGCCTCATGGCCTGCCTTGGGAGCTTCTGGGGCCGTCGAGGCGGCCTCTTGAGCGGCTCGGAGCCATCTGTGGGCCGTCTTGGGGGCGTCTTGGGGCCCTCTTGGCCCGTCTGGAGGCTTCCCTGGGCGACCTTGGGCGGCCTGGGGCCAGCCCGAGGGCGGTTTCGCCTCACTGGGTCCCCCGCCATTCTGGCACGCGGCTCCCCCGGCGTTAGAGTATAGATGACGTTGGACTCCAGCTGCACCTCCCACATCTCGCTCAGCAGCGCCAAAGCCCGCTGCCACTGCCGGCCCTTCCCGCACGCGCTGATCCCAGCGCTGTAGCTGACTAGGGCTGACCCGTGGACTACGTCCACTTGCGGGGTGAAGGGGTGCTGCTGCAAGGCGATCAGGACGAATGGCGTCATGTGCGCCTGCGAGCGTCATGCTGAGCGAGGAGATGGAAGAGCGGCTGGACGCCCCACCTGGGGCGCTCAAGGGCTCCCTTGGGATCGGGTCGGGGTTTGTCGTTGCGTTGGGTCCGACCTTCTCGGGGCGTTCTGAGGCCGTCTGGGGGCCCTCTGAGGGGCCCCAAGATCACCAACACGCCTCCAAGATAGCTCCATAATGACCGCCCGCCCAGAATCGGGGGGACCGATTCTGGGCCATCGCGCCGCCGACCCAGAATCCCGCCCGACGCGCCCTTGGCGGCCGCGCGCGCTTCTGGGGTCGGCCGAGGCGATTCTGGGCCACCAGAAGAGCGAAACACGGCATGGCCCTAAGAGGCCGCGGAGAAGGCTCCAGACCGACAAAAAGGGCGAAGAATTTTGACGCCTAATCCGGCAGGGAGCGCCAAACAAGCATCAGAGGCCCATGGTGCGCTGGGAGCCGTTTTGGGACCGTCTGTGGCCGTCTTCGGCCGTCTTTGGCTGCTGTTGGCTTCGGTGCTTCTTGGGCCGTGATATTTTCTGGGGGCCGTTTTGGAGCCTCTCAGCGCTTCCTTTCGGCCTCCTGGAAACCTCCTGGGCTTGGGCTGTCTCGGGTGCCTCTTGGGCCGTGTGGAGGCGGTCCGGGGCCGCCTGGGTGTTGTCTGGGGCCGTCTTGGACGTATCTGGAGCAGTCTGGGCACCGTCTGGAGGTTGTCTAATGCCGTCCTGGGCCGCTCTTGAGGCTGTCTCGGGTGCCCCGTGGGCCGCCAGGGGCGCCTCAGGAGCCGTCCTCGGGCCATCTTGGGCCTCTGTATGGCCGTCTTGGACGCCATCAAGAGGGGAAGCCCAGGAACTGCCAAAATGCACGTTTTCCCAAAATGTACGTTTTCCCATGTAAGTGTTCGGGCCCTCTTGGGGCTCGTCGTGGAGCACTTGGAGTGTTTTGGAAGCCTCTTGGGCCGCCTGCAGGCCATCTGAGGCATTCTCGGGGCCGTCTGGAGGTTGCCTGGGTCCGCCTTGGGCGTCGCTGGAGCAGCCTGGGCACCGTCTGGCGGTCGTCTGGGGCCCTGAGCCGTTCTTGAGGCTATCTTGGGTCCCCGTGGGCCGCCGGGGACGCCTCAGGAGCCTTCCTAGGGCCATCTTGGGACCCTGAAGGCCGTCTTGGACGCTATGAAAAGGGCAAGTCTTGGAACTGCCAGAATTTACGTTTTCCCGAGAGAATGGGACGATTTGGGCCCGTCCTGGAGCCCAATTGGAGCGTTTTGGAAGCCTCTCAGGCCGCCTGCAGGCCATCTGAGGCGTTCTCGGGGCCGTCTGGGGGTTGCCTGGGTCCGCCTTGGGCGTCTTTGGAGCAATCTGGGCATCGTCGGGGGGTCGTCTTGGGCCGTCCTGGGCCGCTCTTGAGGCTGTCTCAGGTACCGCGTGGGCCGCCAGGGGCGCCTCAGGAGCCGTCCTGGGGTCGTCGTGGGCGGTCGTGGGGCCTTCATGGGGGCATCTTAGGGCGATCTTGGGGGCCTCTACGGCCGTCGTGGACGCGTCGGAAACGAAAAGCACGATAACGCTCAAATGCGCATCTTCCGAAGGGAATGGGAAGATTTTGGCCTCTTGGGGCTCTCCTGGGAGGTCCTCCAGGGCCGTCTTGGGAGCCTCTGGGGATGTCTTGGGGCCACTTGGGCGCCTCTTGGGATGCCCTGGGGCCGTCTCGGGCCGTCTTGAGGCCACCTTGGGCCGTACCAGGCGTCTTTCGGGCGCCTGTTTTGGCCGTCTTGGAGCCGTCGTGGGCCGTCGTGGGCCGTCTTGGGCCGTCTTGTGCGCCTCTCGGGCCGTCCTGGGTCCGTCTCGGCGCCGTCAAAGGGCCCACGTTGGAGCTTCTTGGGGGAATCTGGGAGGCCAGCAGGGCGTCTTGGACTCCGTGGATACGAAGAAAGGCGGAATCTCAAAATTGTGTATTTTCCTAAGGGATTGGGACGATTTTTGATCCTACAGGCCCTCTGAAGAATCCGCTTGGAGGCCTCATTGGGCGTCTTGGAAGCCCCTGGGGACGTTTTCGGGCCACTTGGGCGCCTCTTGGGCTGCCCTAGGGCCGTCTTGGGCCGTCTGGAGCCGCCCTTGGAGCTCTCTTCGGCTCCTCTTGGGCTGTCGTGGGGCCTCTAGGGCCGTCCGAATTCCGTCTGGGCTAGCCCGGGGTCGGTTTTGCCAAATTGGATCCCCCGCCCTTCTGGCACGCGGCTCCCCCGGCGTTAGAATATAGACTAGGGCGAACCCGTGGACTTAGTCCACGAGCTGTGCCTGGGAGAGCTCTCTACGCTGCGGCTCTGCTTGGTGATCCTTGTGTTTTTATTTTTTCTGGCCATTCTGAAGCTTTTTTGGGCTGCTCTGGCAGCGTCTCAGGAATTATTCGGGCCATTTTGGGTCGTCACGGGGCGTCCGGGAGGCCTTGGACCGTCTTGGAGCTCTCTTGAGGCTGCCTGAGGCCGTCTTGGGAGCCTCTTGGGGCCCCCTCGGAGCTCTCTTGGGGCCGTCTTGGGGTTCTGTGAGGCCGTTTCAGGGCTCTCTGGCGTCATCTTGTAGTATAGATGAAGGTGGGCTCGAGCTTCACCTCACGCATCTCGCTGAGCAGTCCTAGAGCTCGCTGCCACTGCTTGCCTTTCTCGCACGAGCTGATCCCAACGTTGTAGCTGATAAAGGTAGGCTCGACCTTCGCCTCCCACATCTCGCTCAGCAGCGCCAGCGCCCGCTGCCACTGCCCGCCCTTCTCGCACGCGCTGATCCCAGCGTTGTAGGAGAGACTAGGGCGAACCCGTGGACTTCGCCCACGACCTTCACGTCCCCCTGATGCGCCTCCACAGCGCGGCTCCGTGCCATACGCGCATACCTTCGCGCTCTCGCGCCCGCACCCACGGAGAAGAGCAGCGCTCCAAAAGCGGCGAAGATCCGTGGGCGGGGTACGCCCGGAAAGCTGTAGTGAGTTCTTCCCAGTTGCCTGGGTGAAGCGTGACGGCGGGCGCCCGCACCCACGGAGAAGGGCAGCGGTCCGGATGCGGCCACGAAGCGTGTCCAGGGTACGGTTCGCAAGCTCTGGAAACTTTTTTGCTTGTCTTGTTGAAAACGGAAAGGCGGGCGCTGCCTTCTCCTAGGGATATTTTGGGAGCATCTGGGAGCTTCTGTCGGCCTCCTGGATGCTCTCGAGATCGTCGGCCGTCTATGGAGTTTGGAGCTTTTCGGCTTCTGCGGCCGTCTAAAGATCGTCTTGGCGCCGTCTTGGGCCGTCTTGGGCAGCTCTTGAGGCTGTCTTGGATGCCTTGTGGGCTGCCATGAGCGCCTCAGGAGCCGTCCGGATGCTGTGTTGGGCTGTCTTGGGGCCTTCATGCGGCTGTCCTGGGGGATCATGAAACACTCTTGGGAGCCTTCATGGCCGTCGTGGGGATTGTGACGATTTTTTCTTGTTCGGGCCCTCTCGGGGCCCTTCTCGGTGCCCCGTCGGGGCCTGAAGCCGTGTAGAAGGAATCTTCGGCGCCTTGGAGTCTCTCTTGGACGGTCTTGGGCCCCCTTGGGGCCCTCTTGGGGGCCTCCGGGGGCGTCTCGGAGCGCTCTTTGGCCATCTTCGAAGCGCACCAGGGCCTGCGGCCCGCTCTTGGGAGCCTTGGTGAGAAGAGCTTTGTACTTCACCGATGGCTCTTTTAATGGGCGTCTCTGGGCCTGCTTGGTGGTCCTTGTAGGGGTCTTTTTCGGGCCATTCTGAAGCTTTCTTTGGGCTGCTCTGGGAGCGTTTTGGGACGTCTTGGGGCCATTTTGGGCCGTCACGGGGCGTCCGGGAGGCCTTGGACCGTCTTGGAGCTCGCTTGAGGCTGCCTGAGGCCATCTTGGGAGCACCTTGGAGCCCCCTCGGAGCTCTCTTGGGGCCGTCTTGGGGTTCTGTGAGGCCGTTTCCGGGCTCTCTGGCGTCGTCTTGGGGCTCTTGTGGGCCGTCTTGGAGCCCTCTCAGGGGCCGCTGGTGTCTTCTTGGGGCGAGTTGGGAGGCCTCTTGGCGTGTCCTGGGCCACTGGGGAGCAAACAAGGCGGGCATGCTGAAAATATATGTATTCTGATTGGAATTTGACGATTTGTGCCTCATTGGCGTGCGCTCGGGGCCCTCTTGGGGCGTCTTTGCGGCCTCTTGGATCGTCGTGGAGCCCCCCCCCCGGAAGGCTTCGGGCCCTCGTGGGCCGTCTCGGGACCCACTGAGGCCGTCTTGGAGCGCTCTTGGACGGTCTGGGAACCCCTCTGGAGAGCCTCTGGGACAGGCCTGAGCGATTCGGCCCCGTGGTGGCGCCGTAAAGGGGCGATTTTGTGCACTTGAGGCCCTGAGCTTCGCGCACGCGCTTCCACTGGCCATGTAGGAGAGACTAGGGCTGACCCGTGGACTTCGTCCACGTTTTCCAGCGTGGACAGTGTGGGTGTGTTGCTGGATGGCTGCGTACTGCATGCTGGATTGCTTGACGATTGCTTGTGCCGTACGGAGCTTCCGAGAAGACAAAGATCCAATGCCCTCGCAGTGTCGTTCAAGACGGCTCGTTTGGGTGAGGCCGGGGGAGCTCCGATAGGGTCTCGGAGCGCTCTTGGGCCTTCCTGGAAGCGCGCCGAGGCCAGCTGGGGCTCGCGGGGGCCCGCAGGGGGCGCCGGAGGAATGTGTGCCAAAGGCATTTAACAACACACACAGGAAATCGGAAATCGACGATTCTGGCCTATGAGCGCCCTTCGGGAAGAGTCTTGAACGCTCAGGGAATCCCCTATTGGGACCGCGCGGAGCCGTTTTGGAGGCATCTGGGGCCTCTTAGGCTGGACGGCGGCCTCTTTGGGCTCCCTGGGGGCCTCTTGGGGCAGTTGCTGTGCTCTCATGGGCCGTCTTGGGGACAGCTTGGGGCAGTCTTGGGGACCTCTTGGACCGTGTCGGGGCGCTCTTGAGATTCGTGGGCCGTCTTGGGGCGATCTTGATCCGTCTAGGGGCGATCCTGGCGGCCTCGGGGGCCCGCCTGGAGCGTCGGAAGCACGAAAAGGCAAGCATGTCGAATTCCCCCCCCGCCCCCCCAAAAAAACGAAGGACATCGACGATTCTGGCC